ATATGGGACATGTGAGATTCTTTGGCTTCGCTCTATTCTGGTAGAGTTGGGTTTTGAGGAGATTGCTCTTTTATTTTGTGATAACAAATCTACCATTATGTTATCCTCTAATTCTGTGCTTCATGAGTGTACCAAGCATATCGAGGTTGGCATACATTTCATTAGAGAAAAGGTTTGGACTGATATTGTGAGTCCATCATTTGTCTATTCTTCTCAGCAGTTAGCAGATATGTTCACAAAATATGTGGGACTAATGTTGCTCTAGTTTTCTGTTGACAAGCTACATTTGTTGAATGTCTTCACGCCATCTTGAGGGAGAGTGTTGAATATAGAACTAGAAAATTATGTTGAATATAGAAATTAGAGCACATAGAATCTTTTTATTTTTAGTATTATGTATATAATCTATAATTGTATCAATCACTGATTTAATATTGTTTCCAAAATTGTATCATGAATCTATTATATATACATGGTCTCTACCTCATTCATGAATAAGTCAAATAATTCTTTCCATTCTTTTTGGTATTAGAGCCCGTTGGCGGGCGGCAGACTTGCCTTGGCCACCCGCCAGACCTCAACCTATTCCCCTATCATTTTTTCTTGTTAGAACATCTCTGTGTACTCTTCTAGGTTCGGTTAATATACCCTCTGTTGTTACTTACAATGCTCAGGTTTGTGAGACTCTGTTCCATGGCTCCTCTATTTCTGCTTCTTGGTCTTCTTCTTCTAGCTTTGGCTGGTCATGACTATGGACAAGCTCTCACTAAAAGCATTCTCTTCTTCGAAGCTCAGAGATCCGGTTACCTTCAAAGGCCAGAGGACAACACCACTTCAAGGCAAGTTTACAAGATCGACCCGAACAACCCCGGGTCGGACCTCGCCGGCGAGACCACCGCCGCTATGGCAGCCGCTTCTGTTGTCTTCCGCCACAAAGTTGCCCAACTGATCACCGATTTGCCGATCAACCTCCATCCCACGAAGATGGATCGGCAAACCCACCACATGGACCCATACCTGCTGTATTGATGGTGCCGTCTTTCCTGATGCACAAAGGGCCAGAGGATTCCACCATACCAACTCTAGCTCACAACCACCAATGGTCCAACGCCGCCGTAATAACGTCTTCGCCTCACTTCGTGTTGGTAAAACAAACAAGAAAGCCTGATTGCGCAACGGTCGCACCTCCATCTTGTCCGAGAACTTCCACCACCGTATGACCCAGTCGGAAATAGCTGCAAAGCTGATTCCTTTGCCATCAACGGCAGACACTGGCCCAGATGTGGACAACACCTTGGACCAAGACCACCTTCAAGGACTCCTACGGCGGCTCCGCCTCATACCTGGAAGGCGCCACCTGCAACAGCGGCCGCATCTACAAGCTCTCTCTCTCAAACCTCTCTCTCCGCGGCTCAATCTCCCCATACCTCTCCAACTGCACCAATCTCCAATCCCTCGACCTCTCCTCCAATTCCCTCTCCGGCCCAATCCCCTCCGACCTCCAATTCCTGGTCAACCTCGCTGTCCTAAACCTCTCCTCCAACCTCCTCTCCGCCCAAATCCCACCCCAAATCGCCTTATGCGCCTACCTCAACGTCATCGATCTCAGCGATAATCTTCTCACGGGTCCGATTCCGCCGCAACTGGGGCTTTTGGTGCGGTTATCGGTTTTCGATGTGTCGAATAACCGGTTGGAGGGTCCGATTCCTGCGGCGCTGGGGAACCGGACTGGGAATTTGGTGAGGTTTAATTCCAGCTCGTATGTGGGGAATAAGGATCTCTATGGATACCCATTGCCGCCATTGAAGAGTAAAGGCCTTTCGATTATGGCGATTGTGGGGATCGGATTGGGAAGTGGGTTGTTGAGCTTGGTGCTCAGTTTTAGTGCTGTGTGTATATGGTTGAGAGTTTCTGAGCAGAATATGACTGTGGAAGAAGGCAAAATTAGTCAGCTCATGCCTGATTATTGAGCTCATCTCAAAAATTAATTAATGCTTTCAACAAAAATGAATTTAAGGTAGGCAGGTATATATGATTGATAATGGGTTTTTGTTTTTTCACTTTGTTGTAATTTTTTGTTTTTTGAGGGTAAATTTTATTAATTTCTGCAATTTTTTTTTTTTTTTTTTTTTTTCTTTTTTTGGAATGTTATATTGGAGTGCTACGTTTGGAAAAAGTACACTAATGATTTTTTTTTTTTTTTGGAGTGCTACGTTTCATTGTTACATTGGAGTGTTATAGTTTGAAATTATACATTTGTCCAAAACTTACTAAAGAGTTTTTGTACTTCTTTTAAAATATTTGAATAATTCCATATCCTTTTGAAATGCTTGAAGAATTCCATATTTCAAGTCATTGTTATACTCCTTTTCAAATGCTTTTCAAATAAAAGAGATTCTCATATAAAAATACATCCCAAATTTGATTCCCATAGATCGTTTACTTTAGCGTTCTAGCACAAAAGAGAAAAAGAGAAGGAAACATAATAGCAATAAGGGTATAACCATAAATCTAATTTTCAAATAATATATTAAAGGGAAAATTACAGAAATAGTCTGTGTAGTTTACCCCGTATGTCATTTTGGTCCCTGACATTTTCAATTGCGCGATTTAGCCCCTCAATTTAACGAAGTGTGTCAATTTCGTCCAATAATTGATGCCCATTTGAAATTTTGGATGGAAAGCCAGCACCTGCCTCTCACGTGCTCCCTCTAGCAATTACTGAGGGGCACACTCGTCTTTTCACCTCAAACCCTAGTTACCTCCATCGTCCCTATACTTGCATCTTCCCCAAATCAGCAAGTTCATTCTTTCTGTCTCTACACAATCGAATCATTTCTAAGATTTTGAGTTACCAAAAAATTGTTTGATTGTAAATCTGCTAAAATTGGCGTGGATAGAGAAGAAAGCGATTGACGACATCAAAAGATGAACAAGGCAATTGTGAGGATTGGTGATGAAATACCAGATCATGGTAAGCAAAAAAGTACTCTTTACCTTTTTTTTATTTTGTATTTTGCTTTATTTTATCTGTCTGCAAGTTAAAGCATTGGGTGGGTCAAAGAATCTACTTTTACTTTGCTTTGCTTTGTTTGAAAGTGGCGAGGTGAATATATGTTTATATATTCACGCATGTCGATACATCTACACCACCGCACATTGACAAAAAAACAAATCAATATCTATAATTGATGTATAGATAATGTGTTATGGTCCCCCTTGTCCTGTATTGTTCATATAATAAGTATGTTATCTTCTTTTTCAGATCCAGATGGTGATTATTTCACTATCAAAATGCATCGTGGTGGGGTTTTTAAGTCTTTAATAAATAGGGCTTACGTAAGGGAGGCATTATCATTTTGGAATAACTGTGATGCTGACAAAATGAGGTTAACAGAGATAGGGGATATGGCTCAAGAGTTAGGTTAAACTGAATTTATTTCATACCATTATCGAGTGCCTGGTAGGGACTTAAATTATGGATTAAGGCCACTTAGGAATGATAGTGATGTAATGGATATGGTGAAATGGGTGCATGTAAGTAGGGTAATTGAAGTGTATTTAGAGCACATCCTTGGTGATCAGTTGCTTAAGCTTGAAGAGTTTAATCACTTTTACTATGCATCAGTTGTCATTGAGAAATTAGAAGTGGCACAAGTAATATGGAAGGTGAGGGTGAGGATGAAAGGCAAAGTCATGATTCATCTAACTATTCTACAGATCTAGAGGACTTTGAGGATAGTGACTATGATTTCAATGAGGATGACATATTATTTGATGCTAATGTTGATAGGAATGTTGAATGAGGTGGGTTAGAGAGGCAGAAGCATAATGATAAAAGAGTTGAGGTACCTCATATTGACTGCCTAGAGCCTCATGCTACATTTTTTGACCTCAAGAGCATTAATGAATCTTTTGATGAAGAGGCTGGAAGCAACATGGTTAGATACCCAGAGTTTAATCCAAACACAGATATGGCAGACCCAAAGTTTAAGGTTGGCATGGTTTTTGGCACTGCCAAAATATTGAAAGCTGCTGTTAAGGAGCATGGTATTAAGACTGGGAAGGCTATTAAGTTAGTCAAAAATGATAGCATGAGGGTTAGGGCTACCTGTAAGCCACCATGTGAGTGGATGCTTTATGCATCCAAGATGAAAGGGCAACCATCATTCCAGATAAAGACATATGTCCCCACTCACAATTGTAGCATAATTTTTTATAACAGACAAGTGAATTCTACATGGTTGTCTAAGAAGTACTTAGAGACATTGAATTCCAATCCATCTATTCCAGTGCAGTCATTCAAGCAAGCTGTGCAAAAGGAGCACAAGGGTGGGATATCTAGGAGCCAAGTGTATAAGACAAAGAGAAAAGCACAAGAATTGATAGAGGGAAGCCTCATGGAACAATATGCCAGTTATGGGATTACTGTGAAGTGATAAAAAGAACTAATCCAGGGACAATTATCATAGTCAAGGAAGATGATGAAGATGCAGAAAATAAAGAACATGAAATAGATGAAGGCAATCCTAGGTTTCAAAAGATTTTTGTATGGTTTGGAGGTTTCAAGCAAGGTTTTCTGGCAGGATGTAAGCCATTCATTGGGGTTAATGCCTGCCATTTAAAAGGGCCATACAAGGGACAACTGTTGCAAGCTGTTGGTTTGGATGGGAATAACAATAGCTATCCATTGGCATTTGTAGTTGTTGAAGGAAAAACAAAGAGTTCATGGAAATGGTTTTTTGAAATATTGTGTGACACTCTTGGGTGATTCAACAAGCAAGGAGTGACCTTCATGTCAGATAAGCAAAAGGTAAATGCTTATTGGAAGTTTCATGCATTTATTTTTACTGTTTAGCTCATTTAATGTGTGTAACTTTTTTTTTCCCCCTTACAAATGCAAGGATTGTGTCCAGCACTTGTAGAGGTTGCACCCATGGCAGAGCATAGGTTCTGCATCAGACATTTTTACACTAATTTTAGAGATAGCTTCAAGGGGGTGCACCTGAAGGACATTGTGTACAAAGCTGCAAAGGCTTCTTATGTACAAGCATTTCAGACTCATATGGAAGAGTTGAAGGAAGCTGATGAAGATGCATTCAATTGGTTAGTTGAAAAACCCCCCAAGCACCTGGTCTAGATTTCATTTCACACTTACAGTTAAGTCTGATATGTTAGACAACAACATGTGTAAGAGCTTTAATAGCTTACTACTAGAAACTAGAGGAAAAACCATAATCCCTTTGTTAGAGGACATTAGGTGTATCTTGATGAAGAGGCTGCAAGTGAGAAGGGAAGTAATGAGGGCTTACCCAGGACCTATTTGTCCTAACATACAACAAGCATTGGAGAAAAGGAAAGAAGATGCAAGCAATTGTATTGATATGTGGGCATGAGGTCTAAGGTACCAAATCAATTGCTTCAATGGCCAACAATTTGTAGTTGATTTAGGTGATTCAACCTGTTCATGCAGAAAGTGGGATCTAACTGGCATACCTTGTTGTCATGCCATTTCAGCCATATATGACAAACATGAGCAACCTGAAGATTATGTGGCTCATTGGTATAAGAAGGAGACATACTTGGCGAGCTATGAGCCAATGATATACCCAATAAATGGTTCTGAAATGTGGCCAAAGTCTGTGTTGATTGGATTATTGCCTTCAAAAGTAAAGAAGCAACCTGGTAGGCCAAGAAAGTTGAGAAAAAAGGCAAGTAGATGAGCCTAAGAATCCTTATAAGATGCACAGAGGAAACACAACAACTACATGCTGCTTGTGTGATAAGCTTGGGCACAACAAAAGAGGATGCAAAGGCCAGCCTATTGCACCAAAGGTTACCCTACACAATTTGTTACATCTTCATAAATTCAATTCATTTATTATGTGTCCTTCATACCATTAATTACTGACAATTTGCAGGTGGCAAAGAACCAAAGAAGCAGTCAAGCATCCAGTATTCAACCAAGAGACCAACCAACCACTGAAGCCACTAGTCAACAAGGCAGTAGGGTAAGTATTTCAGTAAGGCCTTGTAACGCCCTCAAAATAATACATATAAATCCAACATTCATGACATTCATAGACACAAGAGAATGAAACATGTTCCCATTTATCAGAGTATTTAGTACAAAAGTATTACATGTTGACAACAAAAGTAAATGCCCTACGGGCTTACAGCTTTCTAAGCCAACACTTGGTTACAAAAAGGAGAGTTTTAACTCTAAACACATTAAGCCCTTGGCTTGTATTTACATGTAACACCAAAAATAACAAAATAATCAAAAAGAGTCTTCAACTCCCAAGACCTTCCAAGCTACATCCTTGGAGGTGGCATAACACCTGAACCTGAAAATGATGTCCCATATAGGGTGAGCCAACGCCCAGTAGAGATATGCTAAACATAATATGAGCATTAACTAAAACATTAGCATTTTGACAAATGTTTAACTCATATAAACGAGCATACATCTCTTTCATAACTCATCCATATTAACAACACATTTCAATCCCTTTCCATTTCATTATCCAAACCAATTCATAAATGTGGTTCTCTATTCATCCGGACAGTTCATAATGAGCCTACAACTCATATTAATAATACTCCAACGATTCAATTTCAAATGAGACTACAACTCATATTACAATACTTCAATTCATCTACATTATGCAAACGCAATTAGGATTTCGGGACTTTCACCTTGGACGCTCCAGCCAACTTAATTATCACTGGAGTCCATCCCCTATCTCCTCCCAAATCCGGTTTAGGAGTCCATCCCCTATCTCCTCCCAAACCGTGGAGTACATCCCCTATCTCCTCCCAAACTGTGGAGTACATCTCCTATCTTTTCTCAAACAACATACATATACAATGTATTTAAACACTTATCATATACGATGATCAAGCAAAGCACATATTCAATGTGTTATTTCTTCCGTCATGTTCAATGGCATACTCAATTTATTAGTTATAATTCACCTAATCATCATGCAGTGTCTACAACACTCAAGACTATCCTCCACCGATAGCCCAAGACAATTATTTCTAAACAGATAATAAATTACTAAATAGATAAATTACCTACGATTTCAAAGGTGAGTGATTAATCAAT